GGGGGGGTGGGAGGGGGGATGGGAAAATGGTCAAAATTTTTAAATTCAAGATGGTTTTACTTTAAAATATATAATCTCAAATATATTTTAAGATTATATTTGAGTCCCAAACTATCAAACGTATCTTAAATACTCATATATTATCCCAAAAAAATCTCTCGACTCTCATATATGATCCAAAATAATCAAATAGCAAAAACTATAATGGTTTGTATGCAATTAGTTGAAAGACCATTTTGAACTTTTCTTTCTCGTCTTAAAATATTAAAGATAAATTTCAATTTAAGTGTGAGTAATATTATTCACCTATCCTCTAGAGAATATAACATATAAACCCTTTAGTACCATACTATAGTATGTATCCAACTTACGCTCTTAACTCCTCAAATATAATCCAAAACAATCTCTAGACTCACATATCTAATCCAAAATAATCAGATTATGAAGCTATAATGGTCCTTGCATAGTTAGTTCAGAGACCATTTTAAACGTTTCTTTCTCATCTTAAAATATTAAACGTAGACCTCAATTTAAGTGTGAGTTCCAATATTCATCATATTCTCTAGATAATATAGCTTATGAAAGCGCATTTGGTTGCATGGAAATAGAATGCATCTTTTAAAATATTTTTTTCACTCAATTTGTATTTTAAAGTAAAACCATCGACATTGAGAGGTTTTGAAGGTGTTTGTAGACTTTAAAACTAAGTGCACCAAACCAAGTGATCGGGTCTAAAATTCATAGCTATTAAAAAAAACAGATTTTCTAAAGTCAGGCAACCGGAATACAACTTCAACTTCAACTTTGGGTATCAAATCAAGACAAAAAGATTGCCAATAAAATAAAATAGTTGAGAGGCAGAGATTTCTCCTGTAAACAAAAGAATTTAAAATATATATCTTCTTCGTGTCTTACAAGATTCAAGCACCAATCAACCAAGTAATACATATGTATGTATGTAAAGTCACAACAACATGTTCCTTCATAAATTATCACTAACATAAACAACCCACTTTAGTGTGTTTCGAAGCTACAGCACCCACTACAAGGGCATGGGTTACAGGTCTTCCGTATAGGGAATTGTGCGGGATTAAATTCGCTCGAAAGTCGAAAAATAAAGGGTTGACATTAACATGAAATGCAAAAAAAAACCACATGTACCAATTAGTGTGGCCAAGATCTCACCTTTCTATTGACAAGTAGGATGAGGGATCGCGCTAGGTGACAACGGAGGGAGGAGGGAAGCGCCCTTGCGTCGGTTTTAAGAAGCTCGGAAACTTGGTTAGGGAATTCGGCTAGGCGGAGAGGATAGAAGGGGGTCATGTGCGCGAGGAACAACACGAGATCACCGAGATCCTTGGCAAGCACTGGATCCGAAGAGGGGCTGAGCGCAGATTGTTGGCGAAATAGATTAAGCGTGGATTTGAAGTGGCGATAGATGAGGAGCATCTCCTCCTCATATCCTTCCGGGTCTAGCTTCATCCTCGATTGAAGCAGCGGCAGGCTAAGCCTTTCCGCCGCTTTACCGGAAGCGGAGAGGGAGTCTGGAGCGAGCAGGTGAGTTACGTTGGTGGCTGCCATTTGGGATGGCAAAAACCTTGGCTCTTGAGGAAGATGACGATAAACCTGGGTTTAAGCTAAATCTTGCCAGACGGTCTTTTTGGAAAAAAATAAATCTGGATTTCGTCGGGATTTACTGTATCTTCGATTTAACCTGGCCCCTCGGATTTAACGCCGAGACGGACTTCTTCAAGATCTGAAGTTACCTTCCTTCAAGGTTTTAGGGCAGAATCAGAGCGGCGGGAAGAGAAAGATTGGAATTTTGGATCTCTGCACGCCGCGATCCCGTACTTGCCATCCCAGTTAGCTCTAATCGCGAATTTATCGCGAGGGTTCATTCTCGAAAGCGTGGGTTCGGTCTCATACATCTTATCATCAAATGATGTGGAGATCGGACCGGCGGACACCGTAAATAATTTTTCTCGAGGATCATAGCACTCCTAATAAAGTTTTTAATCAGAGTCCATGTATTAAATTATTCTTTCAAATCTACATCAATATATCTATGCATGAAATCAGGAGTGCGGTCATAAGCCGAACACGTATAACACAAATAAATATTTATTCGTTCATTCGTGTTCGGCTCGTTTTGACTCCAAATATTACTGAACAATTGTATATATTTCTCTGTTGAGTAGTATTTTTAAAAATTTAATTGACTACGAGGCTACAAAGATTTAAAATCAAATAAAAGTATTAATGAAGAAAATAGAATAAAAATTATTAAATTTAATTCAAATAATGTTTTAAATCCTGCCCTAATCCTTAACATCTTATAGTTGTGTGATTAGAATTGTCAAAATGAATTTTTATTCGTGAACGACTCGTGTTCGGCTTGCTAAGCAAACGAGTCGAACAGGAACACACTTTTTGAGCTCGAAATATAAACAAAGCGAACACAAGTTGGGTCTGGGCTCGCTTGTGTTCGGCTCATTTACAACCCATTCGAAAGGCGAGTAATAACTTTAATTATTTTTTAAATTATGATTATTTGATAATTAATTAAGTAATTAAAACTAATTTAATAATTTGAATTATTTGCTAAAATTAAAGTAATTCTAAGGCAATATAATTAATAAATAATTAATTAATAAGTAATTAATTTTAAATTAATTAAAGTATTTTTAAAATGTTTTATTTATTAATTAACTAAATTATTAATAAGCATACTAATAAAAATTTTAATTTTAATTAAACTTAATTATTAATATTATTAATATTATTAATAATAACAACACAATTACAATCTAATTATAATTTTATTATGTTAACCAAGTTCGAATGTGAGAGTTCGAACGACACTTCAAATATGTTCAAATTAATTCTAGGTCGAGCTTACTCGTATCAACTTTAATAAGCAATCAACGTAATAAGTGTGTGTGTATTCATATATATCATTAAAAATTACTAATATTGATTTTTATTTAATTTTAATAAATTTAATATTATGTATTTCAATATGAAAATTGGCGATGTTTTGGTTTGGAGTGTGTTGGTTGTGATGTCGTGGTGTTGTGTTAGCGTCGATGATGTGGGGGTGGTGGTGTGTTGGCGTCAGTGATATGTTGGTGTTTAGTGTGTTGGTTATGATGATTTTGTGGTGGTAGCATGTTAGTGTTGATGATATGGTGGTGTGTTGGTTGTGATGGTGTGATGGTGTGATGGTGGTGGTGTTTATTGTGTTGTGATAATTTTGTGGTTGTTGTATGTCGATATTGAAGAGGTGGTGGTGGTGGTATGTTGATTGTGACTGTGTTTTGTAGTAGTTTATTGGTTTGTGATGATGTGGTAGTTGTGGTGAGTTGATGATGACGGTGCAATGTGTAGATGGTTAATGTCTGGTGGTAGCGGCAACGGTGATGTGTTAACAATTGTCAGATGTTTTTTTTTTTCTATTAACTTCTCAAGCCGTGGAAATTTGAATGAGACTTTATATACTCATGAGATAACCTTATATTTTTCTGCCAGATATTTATTTTGCTTAGTTCTTTTTGTGTTGATAGTCATCATGTTTAAGACAACAAATCAGTTCGTCTGTCATGCGAGATAAAGAGACGAAACTAATATTTTGTGATCATTGTCTTAAAGATGTGGATATGAGAAATCAATCAACTACTTATTTTAATAAGAAAGACTTATTTAATATAATAAAAAAAATTACATGAAATTAATTGTCAAAATTTTATATTAAAAATTGTGATAATATTAATTGTTATTTAAGCAAATATATTTTTAATCTTAATTGTTGTATCACTTGTTGTTTAGTTAGATTTCAGCTTTTATTATGTAATATTCAAGTTGAATATCAGTTTTTATGTATGAAAAATATTACTGATTCTCTCATTAATAACATAATAGAATAGGAGCTGAAAAATCTTTTGAACATGAACAGTTACAAAATAAATGGGCGTACAGCTTGCCTGAATAGATACCCAATTTAAGAACCCGACAAGATAAATCTCTCCACGGGGGACAGGCAAAGCCATGGCCACTCCGCTCCCAAATCCAAAGCTCTTCTCTTCTCGCTCCCTCGTGCATTCCAGATGCCCTTCTCTGTACTCTTTTTACCACTTCACCCTCACCACAAATAGCGAGAAGCTTGTCCAAGCTTCAACAATCTCGCCCCGCCGGCGGAGACAATGCGCCATCAGTTTTGCTTCTCGGAGGCGGAGCCGAGCTTCTTCCACCAGTGCTTCCATCGTCTCCGAAGACGAAGAAGAGGATTGGGAGGAAGACGATGAAGAGGAGGGGAAAGAATTTATGCCCTCGCGGGAGATGACGCGGTGGCTGCAGAATAAGCCGGCGGGATTTGGAGAGGGATTGAAGTATAATACGGCTTTGGAGGACAAGCTTCTGGAGGAGATTAAGCGGAACCAGAAGGATCAGCTCGAGGGGAATAGTAAACCGAGGTTAAGCGAGAAGGAGATTGTAGGGAGTGTTAAAAAGCAAGAGAAGCAGAAAGGTATTGCTTTCTATATCTCCATTTCATTAAGAAGTTCATTACTTCTTTTTTATGAGATTTACTTCTGAATGGTGTACTTTGAGCTTATTCTTTCAAGAAGAATACGAGAGAGAAACATGTAGATTCTAATATCTGTTGCTTCTACAGATGAAGATTGAATATGTGGCAAGAGAAGTGTTGTATGATATGCTTCAAATAGCTCCATAGTTTAATATATATATTTTTTTCAATTTGATTAACGTGTTCATGGTCATGCTCATTCTAGATTTTTTTTATCTGCAACTAAGGGTTATAATCGAATTGGTATCCAAAGAGTAATGATTGTTCCTCCGCCTCTACGCCTCCCACCGTACATTTTATGATTATACCACCGTTTTGATCGACACTAGATTGTTTATTTCTTCTGTGCTGAATCAAGTTATAATCCATATAATTTTTTAGCTCTGTTCTATTACAAATAGCAACTTTTGAATGTTTTCACTTAACTTATGGCCTAGTGTTTCAGATAATTTTCCATTTTTTTTGTTTGTAGCTGATTTTCTTCATCCCTACCAAATGGAAAATAGGCTCATCAGGAATTATATGTACAAATTATAGTATGTTTGGCTAACATTTACGACTTCAGCTACGGTTTTGTTATGGTGATTTACAGTTGCTGAGGTCATAAAAACTGATCCTGAAGTCCGTGTGTGGAATCTTCCGAAGAAAAAGAATATCAACCGAGATTTGTGGAGGGCCTTCAAAGGGTTTCCTGGTATTGTATCTATAAACCCTGCTGTCATTGGAAATAGAAAGACCAGAGATCCTATCTGCAGGGGCTTCGCATTTATTGGGTTTGAGTCTGATGATGCTGCGTATAGGTAATAGTGCTTTTATATGCATGTTTTCTTTCTTCCATTCTAGCAATTTAAAATCACCTTTGTTTTGTTGTTTGAGTTATTTTGGACCAATTGGGGTTAGGCATCGGAAATGTTCAACTTTAAGGTTAAGGAGAACCAACACATTGATAAGAATTACATGCTTTGAAATTGAATGATTGGGAGAACGATATCTCCTAAGACCTATGCTAAGTCCAATAGGATTTCCTGCAGTCACTGCAGTCATGTTAGAATTGTAATCAGTTTGAGTTAAGGGCTTTAATAAGGTTTGTAGCGGGATTAGGTTAGGGAAAACCTATTAATGGTCTAAGAAATGTGAATTGAGTTTGAATCGATCAGGAGGGAATAGCCTGAAACTAACTTTAGGTTAGAGATCAAGCAAGGAAAATTTCCTAATCAAGCGTGAATGATTGAGATTGAGAGCGACAAACCCATTCCTAATTGGAAGAGCAACTTGAACTAGTCAAAATCATAATTACAAAAGCGTTCAACATTTATAATATGCCACTCCTCAATGTATTTTCTCATAGCCATTTTAACATCTTTATTACCTTCTTTGTACAAGAACTTTGACTCTAAATTTGATTTCTCTTGGATAATTGACAAAAAATTTCACTTAACTTTTTCTTATCACGGAATGTCCAACCATCAACCGTAAGAGAAAAACTATCTTTGAAATAATATTCTTTGTGGTATGGTATCAATTATCATGTGTTGTATTTATATTTTTTATGTATGAAATGTACACCTCATGATAACTTGAAGGCTTTATTTTATGACCAAATTATTCTAATACCTCAACTACTACTAGAAATTTTTCATAATTAATTGCATTGAAGGGACGCCTCTATCATACATCCTGCAATATAACATCTGAATTTTATTTCCCTCATCCTCTTCCTGGTAACATCCTTTAATTTTTTTTGTATTCTATTCCTTTTTTTGTTTCACTGCTACAAAGGGATTCAGTGGTAAAGATATCTCCAATGGTGTTTTAAGTTAATTTTTTAAGCATGAAGCAATCATTGAATTTTGACTTTTAACATATTTGATTTTGATTTGCGGCGCTTCTTAGATGGTTTTAGAGATGAAATAATCTCATCCATTTTGTCAAAATCATTTCCTTCATCCATGTAATTATGTTGAATTTTATAATTTGCTTTTTGAAATATTTGTTTATACTCTTTCTAATTATATCACTCAATAGGATGCAATGGTTTATATAGCCGAACCCACTTAGTGGGATATAGGTTTGTTGTTGTTAGTACTCTTTCTAATTTTATCTTTCACAAGTTGAGGTTAGCTACTACTAACTTAAAATGTTTTTATTATTCTCAACCAAGTGTTGTTTCAAGTTAGTAATTCCTCCTTTCATAATTTATTAAAAATCTATATATAATTCACACAACTTAGCTTATAACATTTATCTTTCCCAACATGGTATATTCATGCTGGATGATTTCTAAAAGCTTAACCTAAATAAACATTTTTTTTATAGCTATAAATATAAGTGTGGATCAAATATAGCTTAACACTTCCATTAAATAATAAGATGATAGTCATGTAAATTAAATGACATAAAATTGGGTTGAACCAAGTTTGTTTAAATAAATTAAAATGTATAACAAACAAAAAATTGAGGTAAGTTGAAGGAAGAATTTGCTATTGTAAAATCACATTAGAAAAGACAAATTAACTAATAAAGAAAAAGGAGGAAATTCTAATAGAGAGGATGTAAGAAGTTTTATGGTTGGGACATACTCAATAAAAAATAAAAGATAAATATGAACTTTCGTGTTTTGAACTTGAGGGGTGGCTATGTTTGATGATGAAGAAAAACTTAGCATTTGGCTTGTGAAGCAAACTCTTTATTTGAGTCAAGAAGAGGAGATGTTTTGCATTCGAAGAGGAGGCTAGTGTTCATTTTGAGGGATGAAGATGTCGTTATTATGCTCATCACACCATATTTCCGACAATTCTCTTCATATTTTCACAATATTTAATCGCAATTCAACTCTTCTTCTTGAAGTTCTCGTTGTGAGAGATGCGAAAATCAATTCGAGAAATCCGAAGCAAAACTTAAAATAAAAGCATAAAAAACAAGATGTCACAGAAAATATAAAGGAACACCAAGATTTAACGTGGAAAAGTCCGAGAATGGGAAAAAATTACGGAGCCACACCACACTAAGAAATTCAATATGAAAAATGAGGAGAATTGTACAAATTACATCTCGAGCCTCCACATTTTAAAACTCAAGAATGCTTATTCCTCTCATCCTTACGCAAGAGAAAACAAAATCTCATTTGTGCACACACACACTTTTCTGCATAGAAGCCGAAACTTAATACGACGAACTGCTAAAATCGATTACTGGCACCAGAGTGTTGCTTTAGAGCGCAGCGTGACACTGCATCCGAGCATTACAGACTACAGTGTCGTACTCTCAGGTTTTTGAATCTGCACTGAGCACTGTTGGTCTTGGTGCTGAGGTGCTCCTCTCCGAACTCTGGATATGTCATGCTCTTGGGTTCTGAATCTGGGTTTGGGCACTACAACCCTCTCTTCCAGGCATTGGGGTGCTAGGTACAATAAAAAAATTATATGGTTAAACCTGTCATCCAAATGATCGACAAAAGTCCATCATATGGCTTTAAGTTGAATTTATTGGGTTCTGGTTGGGTTTCTTTGGCGTAGCTAGTCCCATAAGGTATGATTTAATTAGCCTGCCCAAGTTGATCAACTTTTACCAAGTTGCTTTGGTCTAGATCAAATTTAATCAGGTTTGACTTGGGGGAAACTTTGAATAAATGCATAACAAGATGCTTCATTATATATGACAAGACTTCCCTAATTAGTTCCACCGACAAGATATTAACACCGATGTCCCCACGGAAGGGATAATAAAACAAGTTAGGTCGATCATTATCACATTCACTCGAAATTTTGATGAAGATGTAACTAATGTTGCCTTTGAGATTTATGTTAGATCAAATTGATCTTGATTGAGAGATTTTTGGTTCTCCATTTGATTTGAGAGTGGGGTACCAAGTTATTTCATTATCAATCTTAATGTCGAACTATCATGCTCCTAATGTTGATGAATGAATTGATGTAAGATTTTTGACATTAGAATGGAGTTGGGTAATTGAATCCAATTTTGGCTTTGAAGAAAAAAGTTTAAAATGGTGATATAAACTGAATGGTAATTTTGGTGCTAATGAGATATGGTAGTTGGGTTGAAACTAATCCTATGTTGAATAATTTGAAGGTAAGAAAAACCATTGCCTTGTTCGAATGTCATTACGGCGGTCTTTCAACACAAATCATGATGTCATTGATCAGATGATTATTGATTCTCGACTCATAACACCCTTTAAGCCATATCAATTAGGCTAATGGCCAATATTCTTTGTATGAAATCTAGGTTTACCTTAATGTTGACATCCTAATCAGCTAATGTTGATCATGAATTTCATAAAGGCATCCCAGCACATGGTTATTTTTTTTTAAACTACCTCAAATGAAACCTTATTCTTGGTTTATCATAATCTAAGCAAGGCTGCCACTCATGATCATCATAATTAGCGTAATGCTAGTTATTTGGGTTTAACAAAATATGAATTGAACATATTTAAACCCCTATGCAACACTCTCCGTGAAAGAGTGAAAAATGAGAATTTATAATGCTGTACCCAAATAATTGGGACAATGCCAGTAATGATGATGACAAAAGATTGGTCATTTTTTACCCATTATTCAAGTTAGTCTCTCTCTTTTTCAACTCATCAACAACATCATCATTAGTCATAATCAATCAAGCATATTAATCTTCATTCTCCATTCATTACTCTTTAGTTATATTTGAGTTGCTAAATTAATTTTGTGCAAATCTTTTTAGATGATATCCATTCATGTTTCTTTAAGCCTGACTCTATCTCATCCTTCCATGTTAAAATTAGCTACATGATTAATAATACATCTTCTATCCTCTATTATACATCTACAAACTTATTAATTTTATGATCTCTAATTTTAATCAATCCTTTTCACTGTTATTCTAGATTTGTTCAAAAGTACTCCAAGCAAAATTTGGTTTTTGGGAAGATACAAAAGCAGATATCCTGCGACGTTATTAATGTACACGGCGTCCTCAATTCTCCTGACTCCAGCACAAGCACCTGCAGTACCTCGCCCGTTTCTAAGAGTACTAATGGCATAAAGCCAAACAAGGAAGAATTCTCAGTGCTCCCACATGACACAAATATTTCATTAACAAATAATGAGAATGCAATAAATAAAGATAACCAGTTTAACCGCGCAATGCTCGCCAATCAAAATCTAAAAAAAGTTGCGAAAAGGGATAAAACAAAGCCACCGAAGTCATCGAAACGGCACATTCTTGGTTCATTAGCTAAGTATGTATAATTTGAAATGTTTATCTTGTAGGTTTACTTGTTAGATTCATGCTGTTTTTAATGCTTCCAGGTTAAAGATAAAAGATAGAGCTGTTTTCACTGGTGCTTTCTCTAAATATGGAGAAATTGCTTCAGCTGCATCCAAGGAAATCTGATAAACATGTAAAATGCCAAATTTGTCCTTTGACCTGGGACATTTTTTTTCCCAGAGTATATGCGGGACTAAAATGGCTACTAATAAAGAGTCAGAGGACTATTTCGACATTTTCCTCCCCGTTAAACTCATTCCGCGCTAAAGCAGAAGGTTAATTATCTACCATTGTTCAATCTATTTTTCTAAACATTAAGCTGTTGGCATAATGTTCTGCAAGTTGAAGGTAGCAATGTAATCGATGCATAGCGGTTTTAGCAAATATTGGAAATTAGTTGTGGGACTTTTACCTATTTTTTAACGGGAACTTCTATGTACATATTGAGCAATCATGTGAAACAATGTAGCCAACTATCATATCAGAAAAGACATTAGGCGAACTTATCCTGATTTAATTTTGTTACATCAATTAGGGGCATTTACGTACACACCACTCAATTCCTTCATAATTTCTTTTTTTACATTTATACCACTCCAATCTTTCATATCACATAAAAAATACCACTAGTTGAAATTCCAAAAAAGTAAAATCAACTTTTATATGCATAGACAAGGTGTTATACACGTAAAAATTATAATTTAGGCATTTGATATTAAATACATAGCAATTGAGTGGCATGTAATGTAAATCTTGCAATCAATCAACTTCAAATATTCGTGATGCAGATGCAACTTCAGCTGAGCTGTTAACTGTTTTGATCAAGACAAACGACACTCAATTTACCTGCTCTTATACAACACGACATTAGTATGCCAAATAGAAAATTTTGATTGAATGAATGACGGCATTTCAGTGTGATTTCAGATACTTACAGAGTTCAGATTAAGAACAGAAAAAAAAAAAATGATGAATTATCAGGCTAGTGATGAACAATACAATTTACAAGAGTAAATGATGATAATAACAGCCTATTTGCCACTGACGTTTATTTAAAATTCCTCGTCTTCAGAGCTGAAATCCTCCATCCGTTGGTCCTTGATTGCCGAAAACAGTGACTGCCGCCGGGCGTCTGATATTGATTTTGTGATTAAATTATTCTTACTTGTTTTACTTATCACTTTCTTCTGTGCTTCTCTTACTTCCTTACAGACATTATCTAACATCTCAAGGAAATCCCTCACAGTGACAAATAATCTCAGACCCTCATCTCTCCCAACATTCCCATGGAAATAATCAGTGGTATGCTTTACTAATGATTTTATTCTCTTTTCTTCCTCCAAAACTAGTGCAATATCAGCCTCCGCATGCTCAACAAAACCTTTTAAAGAATCACGAAAACCACTTTCCTCCTCTAACTTCCTCATCTCATTGTTTAAGAAGCCTCTTGCCTTAACTAACCTATTAGCAAAACTCACAACCGCACTGGTTAAAGCATCAGCATCGAGTCCAGCTGCTTTCCTGACATTCTCGAGTTCATATTTCAGACTAGAAACAGCCCTAAGGCCGAGTTCGCGATACTGATCTTCAGATTTGTCTGGAATATCATTAGTAAAGTCATCTGAGTTGAAGCTGCAAACCGTAACGGTTGAGTCACACCTATTATCTCGAGCTGCTTGCACGGCACGCCTACCTTCGGATCGGATAATCTCTTGCACGACAAAATGTAGGAGTGTGGTCTTCCCATCGGCACCTTTAACATCCGACAGTTTCAAGAGTGTGTCTAGCTTGAAAGCCATAGCTCCTCCACGGTACGTGCCATCATTCATACGGTTTCCGGTTTTGAGAACAGCCTCCAACAATTTCAAAAACAAACGGCTATTTCTGAGATCCTGGCAGGCTTTCTAGTACAAAATAAGAGAAGATAAATAGTTCTTAGCATGTCTGCATGGTGTAAAATTTGAAATTAAAGAATGTAATAAACTGATTGTGTAGAAAAGTGCATTAATAATAGGATTATTAATACTTTTGGCCATAACAATGCGCAGCTTAAATTGTGTGTATGCTTTGCAAAACATTTGTCCTTTTATATCATAGTGACAATAAAGTGTCAAAATAGTCCCCTCACTGTTTGCATGGGGCTACTTTAGTCAGTTCATAAAAAATACCAAATTAGTTCTCAGATTTTTTAAGTTGGAGGTGAAGTAGCCCTTAGTGGGGACTATTGCAGTTCATATTAAAAGATTTTGGAGATCAAAATAACATGCTGCAAAAAGTCAAGTGATTATTCTGACACTTTTCCCTTGTACTAAACATAACTTGATCAAACCAGGAGAGAAACTTACTTCCAGAGTAGCAAATGATTCCTTCACACTTAAGGATTCGTCTTGTAATGAAGTCATGAAAAGTAATGTATCAATCCTTTTGAAGGCAAAAGGAATATTCACCAAAGCTTTTAGGAACTGTTCAGCAG